CGGCCCCGGAAGGGCTGCAGCCCCAACCCTGTGGCTTCCCCGGGAGGAGCAGAGACAGCAACCGGAAGCCAATGCAGCTCCAGCTCGGGCTGGGCCTTTGACGGGCACTACTCATTAGGCACCTGTCACCCCCGCAGGGGTCTGAGAGGGCCAGTGGGAGAAAGGCGGCCCGTAGTAAAATGGCCGGCATGTTCCCCTTCACCCCACAGGCCCAGATCAAGGTCGGACGTGAACCTCGTCCTGGCCGCAGTTAGCAGCACAGGGGCTGAAAGAGCTGCAAAAGCAAGCGCAGAATACAAAGCCCTGCCGCTAAGCCCTGGGCCGACGGGCTATCGGTTACGGGTGCACGGATTAGCTCCCGATTAGCCGCACGGTAACAGGCTGTACTAGGCGTCGCCCGGCTGCCCGGTGCCAGCGGCAGTGCCATGTGAATACAAACGTGGGGACAAGTGAACTGTGAGGTCGCCGTGTCCAACGTGGCTGCACAAAGGAGTCCGAGTCACTCCCAAAGGGTTGGGTCACATGAATTGGTTGTGGGGTCCATGGGGGAATGTCACAAAACCCAAGTGTTGCAGAAGTGCCGTGTGTGGCTGAAGGCGCAGGGACAGAGGGGCCACGCAATTTCCAGCTAGCCAGGGCGCCCTACGTCTGCAGGCAAAAGCCCAACTCTCCTATGGGGCCATAAATACTTCAGGGAAATCAGCTGTAGAACTGTTAAAACAAGCAAGATACACAGAAAACCACACCCAAATGCCTACATAATCCTGTTCTCTATCAGAAGAAAAGAACTGGGAAAAAGGCAGGCAGGGCAGCAGGGATAAGGAAGAAGGGAAGGTTGTATAAGCGAGCTCCAGCTCCCGCCCACCTCCGCCGCTCCCAGCAGGCGGAGGGTTAAGTGCTGCAGTCAGTATCCAAGCAGCAGCCGGCAATATACGCGCCCCCCCCCCCCCCCCCCCCCCCGCCGCTCCCAGCAGGCGGAGGTTTAAGTGCTGCAGTCAGTATCCAAGCAGCAGCCGGCAAATGGCGAGGCTGTGAGGGCGAGAGAGCTGGGAAATTTTTCCAGTGCCCACGGCAGCTGAGGCAGTCCTGGAGTCGGGATAACACAGCCAGCCTTGTCTCTTCCCCTTTCCCGTGGTCTCACCTGGCCTTGGGGCTCTGACCATGACCACACCTGCCTCTGACCACTGCACGCGTCCACACTCACTCCCCAGGGCCTCATACCTAATTCTGACCACACAAGGTGTGTGCTTGTGGCTACAAATTAAAGCACAAATAGAGCGATGGAAAAACAAGTCACCTTGCAGGCACTCTGATTAGGCCAGATCGCGGCCCACCCCTGCCCACAAGCTGCCCTAGGGCAGCAAGCTCCTCTAGCTGGGAGAGGTTACTTGGTAAAATCCCCCACCCCCCACTAACTGCTGGGGGGGGGGTCACTCAGAGGGGAGCATGCCAGGGCTGGTGGGGCCATGCAGGGAGCTCACCCAGACACCAGCCACCAAGGACTGCTCATGATAAACAAATACTGCTGGGGTGGCTCCGTGGGGGATGCAGAGGCATCTTCCCTTTTAAATACCTTTTCCTTTTAAGATTAACAGGTAAGAAATTTGTTTGGTGAGGAAAAAAGAACTATACCCTTCAAAGGGTCATAGCAGATGGGAAAAATGGCACCCGGCCCCGCTGCCATGATGAAAACCTCCCAAGGTCTGCACTAACTTAGCACAAGGGTTGGAAGCTCAGAGCGGTCTGCAAGCTGGGGTTTCTCCAGCAGGTGACAGGCGAGTCTGCCGTGTCCATCTTGGTGAAAATCTACCTAGGAGGAAGCCGGAGCCAAGGGCGTCCTGCCCTCGTCCCAAGGGCGTCCATGTTGGGCCCGATGCAGGGAAGGGACACTTCACAGGAGACAGCCTCCACTGCCCATCCTCTGCCGAAGGGAGGCTGTCATTCCTTACAGCGCCAGGAAGCAGGCATGAGGACACGAACAAACCTGCACCCAGGAGGAAGGATGGACCGCACACAGCAGGCCCCTGGCCATGCCCCTGAATGGGGTGTTGACACCTTGCTGGGTAACAGAGACACAAGAGTTCTCTCTGTCTCTCTCGGAGGTGCTGCCCATTAAATGTCAACTTAAAGAATGAGTCCTTCCACACTGCCTTGCCCTCTACAGCAAACATTATTCTAAGCATGGAATAGGAATGAGGAAAGAGAGAGATTTTATGACAGGGAAAGCACTAGAGGCAAATTTCACCATCTGCCTAGAGTCAGGCAGCCCCTGCCCCCCAGGACTGGGGAGGGGGTGGCCCAGAGGCCCTTCCGCAGTGCGTCTCCAGGCCTGACTCCTATTCCGGGAGTTGCTAGGAGATGCCCTGGCCTGTGGTGACTGTCATCCTACACCCGCCCCACAGCGCCCCTGACTGTCCCCTCCAGGCCTGAGACTCTAGGGCAACAATCTTGTTGAAAAATAGTCTCCCCCACCCCCAAAACAAAATAAAATAAAAACTAAAGCTGTCACTGTGAAGAACTACATTCTCCAAGGCTCAGGGGTACCTAGGCTTCCCGCAACACCTCAGCCTGAGGCCTCACCTTGACTAACCTTGAAGTCTGGTGCATTATTAACCCTCCTTTTTCAGTCAAGAGACTCACGACTTGCTGCCCTTTTTTTCTCTATTAAAAAAATCTCACATCCCAGCTTCTTCCATTTCAAAATGTCAGCCAGGCACTATTTCCCTGACTCATTCTCCTGCGATGCCCACGGAGCCTCCCAGCCAGCAGCTACACCAGCCCCTTCCCTGCAAACTTGGAGACTGCGGTGGTGGTGGTGGTGTCGGGAGGGGGCAGCGATGCAGCAGAGGGGAGCTCCCCCCCTTCTGCAGTCACGACGCCGGGATTTGCCTACAACTCTGCCCTTCAAGATGACCTTCCCCCCCATAAAAAAGTGACCCCTCGGGTGAAGGAAGGCAGAAAACGAAGTATCCAGTCTTCAGTGGTGGAAAACGCCGACCCACCCCCACGACAGGCTGCACGAACCCTACAAGCAGAACCGCGCTGCGTCGGCTCTCAGACAAGCCTTCGGCGGAATCGACCCAAGCTGAGCCTCATTGGAGCCAGTTTCAGGCCAAGGCTCGGGATGGAGTTGGACAGGGTTTGCTGGCCCCTTCCTGAGCTGTGCTGGCTCCCGGGAGGTGGCGGAGGCAGCCCTCGCCATGGCTACGAAATACCGCAGTGGGGACGGATTCCTCCCCCTTCCTCCGTGTCTCCGGGTGGGTACGCGTTTGAACCAGAAATCAGACCCTGGAACGCACGCCTGACCCGCACGCGGCGGATGACCTCCGGAGGTGCTCAGCGCTCCTACCTCGTCTTTTAAGGACCTGGACTGAGGACACGGCGAGACAGTCTCCCGGGGCGCGACCACCCCAGCAGGGAAGGGCTCGGACAGAGCGCAACCCCCA